AAATTTGCTCTGGGTTAAAGAGTGTAGAGAAAGGATTGAGGCCCAGGAGCCTGTAAGGCTTCTTGGTGACCTGGTACTGGGGATGTTCTCATTTCTCCAGTGCTCTGGATGAAAGCTAGGGGTGTCCACCACACTCCCTGTAGCAGAAGAAATCCTCCTAATGAGCGAGCCAGAGGCACCATGTAGCAACTACAGCCCCCTGGACCAGCGCACCTCAGTGTCTTTCCTCACTTGATCCCCTGACAAAGACTCTCTCTTTGACCAAACTTTCTAGTACAGTTCTCTGAACCCACTTCTCTACTTGGCCTTCCCCATCCATCCTTGCAGAATCAGTTTTAGAGAGAATGTTGCCAGGTCAGTTTAGTGAGGATCCCCCCCTTCAGTATCTGACCAGATTCCTCACCCAGTCTCTCCCTTTGGTGTCTAAGTCCTTAGCCTGACTTCAGCAGGAATCCCCTAATCTTCATGTCTCCTTTTAGTAATAGTCCACCCATCAACGCACCCCAACCAGCCCCTTGGCTATAAATGCCCACTTGTTCTTGCTCAATCTGGAGTTGGGCTCACTCTCTCCCTATTGGAATGTCTTGATGCCTATTGCAATAGTCCTGAATAAAGTCTTCCTCGTTTTGTTAATTTTTTTTCTTTAACGCCCCTTGTGGCTCAGGTGCTATGTGTGGAACCCACACAGATGCTCTCTCACACTCTGGAACTGCCTCCTATGGCCCCTCAAAAGTTCTGAGGGTCCAGCCTCCCTTCTCCCCCAAAACCTTTCATCTAGTTTCAGCTTTCATAGCCCACAGGATCTGAATGAACCTTGGAAGAAATGCCTGCTCTAAGAATACTGTCCTCTCATGTGGTGGCTCAGGTCCCCTCTGCACATCTCAAAAGGTTCAGCCAAGAATAATCCAAGAGGTTTGGAAGAAACAACCAGGTTTGGAAGAAAGCACATCAAAAGGAAATAGTAGATTCAGAATCAATTCTAACTAATGTTCATTCTACACTTAGTAAGTGCCAGGCACTATGTGAAATGCTTAATATATTATCTCCTCTAATACTCACAATACCTATAAAGTAGGTATTACCCAGGTTATACCAATGAGGAAGCTTGTCCAAGAGCACTCAGCTAAGTCATTGTCAGAGTTGGGGACAGAGAACCCATTCATCAGTGCTCCTCCTGCCTGCACTTCGCAGTGTGCAGGTTGAGCCTTCTCATCTAGCTCAGGGCCTCCAAATCCTAGTTGTGCTTAAGGTCTAGCTCAGAGACAACTTCTTCCCTGTAGATTTTTTTTTTTTTTTGAGACAGAGCCTCAAGCTATCCCCCTGGGTAGAGTGCCATGGCATCATGCTCACAGCAACCTCCAACTCCTGGGCTCAAGTGAGTCTCCTGCTTCAGCTTCCCAAGTAGCTGGGACTACAGGCGCCCGCCACAACACCTGGCCATTTTTTGGTTGCAGCCATTGTTGTTTGACGGGCCTGGGCTGGGGATTCGAACCCGCCACCTTAGGTGTATGTGGCTGGCGCCTTAGCCACTTGAGCCACAGGCGCCGAGCCGCCTGTAGATTTTTTTGATGCCCACAAGCAGAAATAATCTTTTTGCTTCTGAATTCCCACAGCACTCTCCTTAAACTGATTTTAAGACACCTATTACATCCTATCTTGCTTTACAGTTGGTGTATATAGTATGCTCCATTACATGCTGGGAGCTTCGCTATGAAAGAGGCCCCATGACTCCTTGCATGTTCCCAGAATGCCCAACCATGGTATATGTTCAGCAATGTTTAGGAATGAACAAATAGCATTAAATGTGTACAAAGCCATAAGATTATTTCAACATAACTATAACAAAATCCATCTTTATTAGAAGAAATAATAATGAGAATATTGTGTCTTTTTTTTTTTTTTATGGTTAATGCTGGCAAAAACAATGTAGGAATATGCCCTGAAAAACCTTCCTGTTGGGAAACATAGGCCAACTAGTGATTCCAGTGGGACCACAGGTAGGGGATGTAGTCCTAGACAGTATAGGGGATGTAGTCCTAGACAGTATAACTCAGGTTACTCAAACAGGTCATAGTAGACAGGATGGGTCACCTAAGAAGCTTCTCATTGTCAAAGACTGTCTGTTTAAGAAGTTAAGGAAAGGATCATCTTTTCCTCTTCCTCTCCTCCTCTCGCTCAGCAAAAAGGCTTCCCAAATATAGAAGTCTGCCTTCCCAAATTCCAAGTAAAAAGCTAGACTTTATGCCTATGGGGTTACCGCCCTCCATTAAAATGGATAGACAACACCTCATTTTAATTAATGGACATTTTTGCAACTCTACTATCCACTAACATTTTTAATTCCTCTTTCAAAAAAAAAAAAATTAGCGGCTTGGAGCCTATAGCTCAACCGGCTAAGGCGCCAGCCACGTACACCTAAGGTGGCGGGTTCGAATCCCCAGCCCGGACCCGCCAAACAACAAT